AACAGTGTTGTTGATCTTCTTAGAGAAAGTTCATACCACTGAAGAAAGCCATCCAGCCAGTGTTTGAATTGTTCTGGGGATATTTCTAATTGTGGTGCCAGTGCAATGGCAAATGCTTGAATGTCAGCCCTACCGAAGCCTTTGCTCTCCTGTCAGCAATCAGGAAAATCTGTGACTACATTGAACACAGAATGGAGAGAAATCAGCGTGGGAACTTTGTGAAGCCTAGCCTGTCAGAGGTCGTGACTTGGGTGAAGCATTCGTGGGACAAAATTACCGACAGCTGTGTTGCCAATGCAGTATGAGCAGGCTACATGGACAAGAAGTGCTCATTTAGGGAGACTGCTATTGCTGGACATGAGAGATTGGGGCCAATGGTTCTAATGGAAGTGGAGTTGCAAGAGGTGAAGGCCGGAATTTGGGGTTTGGGAGAGTTACCGTGTGAAGATGTTGCAGAAGAAGATGACATGACTGTTTTTGAATAAATTGAATAAATAAATGATTGCTATACATCACCGTTGTCGTTGTGGTTGCCCTGGGTGGAGTGTGGGTTAGAGTTGGGTTAGGCATTGTGGGTTAGAGATGGGAAGGCCTGGAAAAAATCCGGAAAACTTGTGAAAAAGCAGGGGGGGTTCCCGTTTGTTTCTAAACTGCTTTGGAAACAAATGGGAAAACCGTTTTTTTTCCCCACCCAATTTTTTCCGGATTTTTTCCCCCAGGGCTTCCCATCTCCCATTAGGGCTGGGGGGAGTGGGGGTTAGGATTACTGTAGGCATAAGAGGCCTGACTATGGCCTCACGTGGGTCAGATGGGGGGATCTTCCAGGCCTTATGGCCGCGCCATTGGCAGGCGCAACAGGGATCAACCAAAAGTGGCCGCAAAACAAGTGGGGCAGATTCCCTCCTCACCTGCCCAGCCTCTTCCTTTTCTTTTTTTTTTAAGAAAATTTTATTGATTTTCTAATTTTACATTTAAATATTTAAAAAGCAACGTGGCAGCTCAGCAAATCGATAATTCAATAACATACAAGTATCTTTAGTACAAGTCTCAAACTGCTACATTAGATATTTCCCCTCCTTTCCCCTTAGTATTTACTGTCTCATATTTAAACTAATACAATTCTTATTATATCGATTAAATAAAAATAACTTTCTTACATTTATCAATAATAATAATAATAATAATAATAATAATAATAATAATAATAATAATAATAATAATAATAATAATAATAATAATAATAATAATAATAATGTTGGAAGGGACCTTGGAGGCCATTGAGTCCAACCCCAATTTTTAGTTTATACAAAGATGATTAGGTGACTGATGGTTAAAACATATGAAGAACGGTTGCTGGAATTGGGTATGTCTAGTTTAATGAAGAGAAGGACGAGGGGGGACATGATAGCAGTATTCTAATATCTCAGGGGCTGCCACAAAGAAGAGGGAGTCTGCTGGGGCAGAACAAATATATCCCTGGATTTTATTTTTTTTTAAAAAAACGTATATTAATAAAGGTAATCATGTCAGGTTTCACATATGAAGGGATCCCTTCTAAAGTATAAGTAACTGTTTGAAAAGACCAGAAACATCATTTTTCTTCATTCAAAACAACAATACGTTTCAGTTAAAATATAATGACAAGATTTATTTCAGCACTTCAACTTTCTCTGCAGAAACATGACCACTGGGTTATTGATTTCAGTGGAGAAAAGACAATGGAAGAAATAAAACATATATTAATATAGGGAGGAAAGGATGTGAATATACACATCCTGTCTCCAAGTCCTCAAAGACCCTGGTTGCAGGTTGCCTCTTGGCTTTTCTTGTAAAGAGGAAAGGAAATATGATATGGAAGAAACCATTAGAAGAAACAAGTCCAGTATTATGGCCACATGAGAACACTTGGGGGCCAATCTGCTTCTGTAACACTGCAAATATTTGCCTGAATATTCAGCTTCCTTTAAAAAAAAATCTAGCCTAATCTGTGCCAACCTAGTCTACTCCAGCACTCTGCATCATCTTTAAATAGGATACCAAGCAGTAGAACTTCTAGTTGTACTCTGTATCAACTTTTCACTAGAATTCCATATTCTACAATTGCTCTTTGTTCCAGGTATTTTACAGAAAGTCCAGCTATGATAACTGTTCCCATCCATATACCTCCTGTTTACCTGCCACTCTCTGTTTATTAAGAACACTGAAAAATAAAAAATTGAATAGTTTCGCTACAGTTTTTCATTGCTACCACTAGAACCTCTCTGTTTGAACAATTTAGAAGTGTTTCTCAACTTCGGGAACTTCAACTCCCAGTTCCCATGCTGACTGGGGAATTCTGGGAGTTGAAGTCCATACTTCATGTTTCCAAGATTGAGAATCAAGAGTCAGCAGTATACCACAACCATGGGATCTTCCAGAGCACCTTTGATCTTTAGAAAAAGCACTTGCAGAATTTCCAAAATGAATTTAAATGATGATAAAATGGTTATATTCTTGGTGTTTCCAAATGATATCTCATGAAAGTACACCCAAATAAATGCATTGCAATGCCTGAAAAGGTTACTGATTCTTCCCTTAAGCAGTAAAACAAATTACTTCTAAATAGTTTAGGATAAACGTATTTACACTGTTCTTGGATAATTTACTTTCTGTGCTTCTTTCTCCCAATCCCAACACCTGAACCTGTAATCTTAAAACTTCTGTTTTCTAGATCTAAATCTGCATCATATACAACACAAACAAAAATAAAAGTCAGATTATAATCACACGCAGGTGCAGAGAGGCAAAGTTCCAATTCCTTTAGTGTTATCTGTAGTAAGATTTTGGCAGGCGAAACATTTTATGCAAGTTTGTTTTCAGGCTTCTTCTCCATGGCTAGTATAAATGTCAAACACTTACCCTTCTTTGCATACAGTCATTGCTGTCTAGAAATAAAGAGTTCATAATAAAATGTAAAACTTAGTATGAGCCCAATGAATACAAGTTAAGACTTACTCATCTTCTGAAAAGGGCTTCCCAGATAGGATGTTCTTTGTTCCTGGAGCATAATTCCAATCAACTTCGTTAATTCCAATGTAGTATTCTCTGGTTACTGCAGAGACTTGGAACAAGTAATAAGCCAGCAAATGGCTTAGCACAGACAGCTTCATGTTCGAGGTTGCTTTAGTTCAATGGACTCATCCAGGAACAGCTTCTTTAAATATCTTCAGTATTTCCCCCTTTGCAAGCTTTTGTTTAGTTTCAACAGCCTGGAAGGTTGCACAATTCTTGTTTAAACAAACCCTGTCAGATTTGATGGAAATAGCTCTTAGGCAACTCATGGATTATTGAAACAGTTTTTAAAAAATCCCAATTTTTATCACAGTTAATGTTGTTCAAATGTAAATAATGTTTTATATCTCAATATAAAACATTTGAAAAATGTTCTTAATCAAACAATTTTTAAAAAATTTAAAAGAGGTCCACGAAATGCTTTGAGAGGTTCCCAGCACAACATCAATTTTCTCCTGTTCCTTCTGTTTGATACAGCTGAAATTTCCTGCATTTCACAACATGGGGAAAGTTATATTTCAGCTTTAAACTACAGGACAATATCCAAAGTACCAAGCAGTTAATAATATGTCAGTGCAGTTATTATCACATTTCAGATAAGACTGGCATTACTTATCCATATTATTTAAAACACTTTTTCATGAAAACATGGTTGTTTGTTGATTCATATTGTAACTGATTAATTGGGACAAATCTTGCAACATTATATTAAAAGCTCTACAATTCAATCTGAATATTTATTTTAATTTTTTTATTCTACTAATCCCAGTTATATACCTGTTCAGTTTCTTCTCTTCAAAAGCTGACATTTACAAGGCTGTTGATTTGTAGGAACCAAAAATTAACTTCAGCACAACCACAATTATTTTACATTTTGGTTAATTAAAATGCACCCCTCTAATTCATGTAGATTTTTTATTAGAAGTAAAAGATTTCCTGAACAATTTTATCCAATTTTTCTGACCCACTTATCACACAGTAGCAATGTTTTTTTTTCCTAAAAGATAAAAATGCCAGCTATCACCAATGAGGAAATGATCAGCTGGGTAAATTCTGCAGAGCTTCTGTACTACAAATGCAAAGGGAGCCCTTCCAGTGATTCCAGAAACATTGCAATTGAGCCACAAATAAAATGGCTGTTGAAAAATAAAAAGACAGTGTAAGTAGACCTTGACTTTATGACTGCAACTGAGACCAGAATTTCTGTTGCTAAGCAAAATGGTTATTAAGTGAATCACATGGTCATTAAACAAATCTGGCTTCCCCATTGACTTTGCTTGTCAGAAGCTGTCTGAGAAGGTTGCAAATGCCATAATGTGCGACTATTGTAAATATATGCCAGTTGCTAAACAAATGCTTGTAAGTTGAAAACTACCTGTAAGAGATCAGAATGATATGGAGAGGTACAAAGTATCTTTATTAATATGGAGTGTTTTTTTAATACTCCCTATGAAGGAGTATCCAAAGTGAATATGACTGTATTTCATTAAGGCAAATTAGGAACCATTCAAGTCTTCTTGCTCAATGGGTGAACTAGTATAGGTAAGTCTATTCTTATGGATTTCTACATGCAAAAGACATTCCCTAAATCTCATCTCAGACTATGACATTTCTCCCAACATCTGTGCAGGGGAAATTTTATTCAGTTGCTCCTTTAATCATGCTAGATGCATATTGATCTAGATCCAGCATATGAATATATAAGAATCCAGACCATTCGAAGTGCCAATCAACAAGAGAACCAGTCAGCTGCTCAGAATTCAAATATAGCTCCAAACAAACAACCAATTGCACAACCAACTGACCACACTGGAACACAAGACATTTATAAGCTAAGGAGAATAGGACAAGAAAACCCTGCTGCTGATGTTACCTAGTTTGTTAACGAAACGTTCAGAAATTATATTGAAACAAGCTTGGAGAACAAACCACAGCCAAAAACAAAATGGTGTAATCTATCTCTTTACTAAGAAAGTTGCTGTTGTTCACAATAATGTGACTGTACAATGAACCAAATATTCACTCATGTAGTATCGATGATATGTAAGTGCTTTATATTAGGTAAACACAAAAAAATCTTCATTTTTCAAGAGCTTCGCAATTTAGATATATAACAAATGCAAGAAAGGGAAAGAGTATGCAAACAGGCAACAAGAAAAACAGACTATCCAAAAACTGTACACTTTAGCTGAAATGTGTGGAGCATCATAAATAATACGTTGGAAAAACATTGGTAATCCTTGTGTCAACACAGAAACAGAAAAGCCTGTTTTAAAAATTAATATTAAAATGTACGCTCAGGGATACGATGGAGTCATGGTAGAGTCATTCCCCAAGGCTGTTAGATCAGTGCAGGCTGTAAAAAAGAACAGAAAGATATAAGATTTTAATGGACGTGGTTCTAGGACATACCGTACAGCTTGTGGGATGACTGTGCTGACAGCTGTGGTTTTTTTTTAATCTGGGCATTGATTGTATTTATTGTGGGATTGGTGTAATATTGTGTGTTGCTAGTCACCCAGAATCATGATGTTGAGATAGGCATGTCATATCGGTTAAAATAAATAAATTAATGCTTTTATATCCAAATTGTTTCAGTCAAGACAACTTGGGCACATCACGATCTCCCTGTGAATTCACATTGTACCCACAACACAAAAGTCTCAATTGATCATTGACTGAATCAGTGGTTCTAGCAGCATATGAATATTGGGTCTAAATTATAATTTTGACAATAGAGTCCATAGCTGCTTTCTCCAAGAAGTGCCTAACATCCAATGAGTTCTCACATCAGGATAATATCAGCAAAGCCTCATCACATCAGTAGCTCCTTTTTTAATTGGACAAGATACCAAAAACTCTCCTTAATGCCATCTAATGGATGTCCAGAGCTTTGCAACCCACAACTATTTTCTCTCATTTTAATTGGTCAGTAAAAAGCCATAAATGTGAGCCAGAATGGTGTAGTGATTAAAGTAATGGATGGGGAGATACAGGCTCAAATCTACTCTTAGCTAAGCACATTTGGACCACAAACTATTTATAGCCACAGGGTTGCTGCTGTGAGGTTAAATAAGGGGATATTCCCTGTGTCCTTTTCAAAGAAAAATGGTATATAGATAAAATAATAAATAATCATGGCTTGATAACTGCAGTCACATAGGGCTGGAGAAAGTGTGGGAGGCAAGGCAAAGCTGAAGATGCTGGTCCTCTCAGCTATTTATCAACTGTATTAGAGCTTGCTTAGAAAAATAAACAGTCTTATAACATTTGGAAGAATAAAAATAACATAAGCAGCTATGGTATGTAAAAAGAAAACTTTGTGTCTTCTTACCTGAACAAAGATGGGATAATTTCCACACAGGATTTGCCTTAATTCTGCAATTATTTTCAGAAAGCAGATCAAGATTTGGAGGACACTAAGAACTATCAGAATAGACAACAAAATGATGTTCCACTCCACTACATAAGAAGGCTCAGTGCATTGGGACCAGGAAGTAGGATCCATGAGGTAGCTATCAGAGGAAACAATAGCATAAAGAAAATGGAAAGAGATTATTACCATGAATATAGGTAAACATACTGTCAGATGGTCTCATCACACAGAGTTATCAGCCCAAGGACTCTGTCCATTCATCTATCAGACTTCCAGAGATGAATACAGGGAGGACTAAAGAATCTGGAAATGGACTTGGCTGAATGAAACAACTTTGAAAATAAAAAAGGAGAAGTAGCCCAACCCACTCCTTGTAAAATCAAAGGGCCACATCAATTGACCATTTCATTTTAATATTTGGCTAAAGACATCAATGTATCTAAAGTTAGCTTTAAGATAAGCCTGTTTCTTACCTGCCTGCAGTGTTTTTGAAGGCATATTCCCAGCCTGCTGAGGTTTTGCAGTATGGGCCTTGCACTAAGCTCAAAGCAGATATGATCAGACTGTAGCCAGAGAATGCAATCCCTAGTAGGGAAAGCACAACAGAAATGAAACGCTGCATTAAAAGAAGAAGAAGCAGAGTGAGAGGGAATGAAAAGATTCCATCATTACAGAGAATGAACTACTGTATGTACATTAGACCTGGGCATTTTAATAGCCCCTGGACCACATTTGGCCCTTTAGTTGTCCCTGTCTGATCCATGTGAGGTCAATAAATGTACACCATGCACACAACTGCATGGTGTACATTTTGAACATGGTGTACAAAAGCAACTGCATTGTTTTTATTTTGAAAGCAACTACTTTTTTTTTCCAATTTATGTATCTGTGTGCCTATGCACCTTCACAGCCCTATTGGCTTGGCCCTCCAGAACTGTTCCAGTTTCTTTTTTGTATTATTATAAGATTTTATTAGTTTTTTCCATACATATAATAATTTTTCAACCAACGTGCTGTCTGAGTTTAAATACACTAATATTTCCTAATCTTTTATTCTTTCCTCTAACCATCGGTAAAGTAAGTCCCAAATTTGATAATATTCTGTTTCTTCTTTTTCTTTCAGTCTCATAGTCAATCTGTCAATTTTGCGCATTCCAATTTTTTTTTATTATTTCTTCATCTGGTGGTATTCCTTCATTTTTCCAATATTGCTCAAATATTATTCTTGCCGCTATTGTGACGTGTAAAATCAAATATAGGCTTTGTTTGTTAATCTTTTCTGGCATTATACCTAATAAAAAAAGTTCAGGTTTAAAATCTACATGTTCTCCCAACATCTTTTCTAACCAAGTATGTAATAATAGTAGTAGTAGTAGTAGTAGTAGTAATAGTAATAATAATAATAATAATAATAATAATAATAATAATAATAATAATAATAATAATAATAAAAAGTTGGAAGGGACCTTGGAGGTCATCTAGTCCAACCCCCTGCTCAGGCAGGAAACCCTATACCATTTTGGACAAATGGCTGTCCAGTCTCTTCTTAAAAACTTCCAGTGTTGGAGCATTCATCGCTTCTGGAGGCAGGTTGTTCCACTGGTTAATTGTTCTAACTGTCAGGAAGTTTCTCCTTAGTTCTAGGTTGCTTCTCTCCTTGATTAGTTTCCATCCGTTGCTTCTTGTCCTGCCTTCAGGTGCTTTGGAAAATAGCTTAACTCGCTCTTCTTTGTGGTAGCCCCTGAGATATTGGAACACTGCTATCATGTCCCCCCTCGTCCTTCTCTTCATTAAACTAGACATACCCAATTCCAGCAGCCGTTCCTTATATGTCCGCCAAGCATGATAATACGTGTCTGAGCTATGTTTACATTTCCAACATCTATCTGACATATTTTTAAACATTTTTGCTAATCTTGCTGGTGGCAAATGCCATCTATATAACATTTTATATAAATTTTCTTTATAAGAAGTTGACATTGTCAATTTATAATTTCTTTCTCATAAATTTTGCTATTTTTCTAATTCTATGTTATATCTAAAGTTTCTCGCCCATCTTATTATTGTTTCTTTAACTTGTTCGCTGATGAATTATATCCAGGGAAACAATTGGCACTAATATTTCTAGATGCCCAAAAGGCATTTGATAACATTTCCTGGCAATTTATGACTCAGTAACTACAAATAATGGACTTTGGACAGAACTTTATAAATATGATAAAAACAATATATAACAAACAAACAGTGAAAGTGATCGTGAATGGAGATTACACTGAGAACTTTGAGATAAGAAAAGGTACAAGGCAAGGATGTCCACTATCTCCATTGTTATTCATTTTCACTCTGGAAGTTTTAAATAGAAATATCAGACAAGATATAGAAATCAAAGGACTGGAAATAAAAGGTGAAACATAAATTATAAGCATTTGCTGATGACTTGGTATTTATCTTAGAAGAACCTTTGGAGATGATTCCTAAACTACTGGGAAAGATACAGCAGTATGGAGAAATGGCAGGACTGAAAATAAACAGGGAAAAAACCAAAGTAATAGCTAAAAATCTTACTGATAAAAAAAACTGTCAGAAAAAACAGAATTACAGATAGTGAAAAAAATTAAATATCTGGGTATACATTTAACAGCAAAATGCTCAACAATAAAAGAAGATAATTACACAAAATTATTGAATAAAATAAAATTGGACTTCGAAAAATGGAAAAATCTACAACTGTCAATATTAGGAAGAATGGCTACAGTGAAAATGAACATATTGCCCAAAATTTTATTTTTATTCCAAACAATTCCCATAAAACTAGAGAAATATTTTTCGAGATTTAAACTCATTAATTTTGAAATTTGTTTGACAAGGAAAGAAGGCTTGAATTAAGATGAAAACATTACAAGATGCTAAGGAAAATGGAGGATTTGGATTACTGGAGTGGGCTTTGTATTATCAAGCATCTGTTTTAACATGGGTAAAAGAATGGATAACTTTTAAAAATAAAAGGTTGTTATATCTGGAGGGGCATGATTTACAGTTGGGGTGGCACGCCTTTTTATGGTATGGGAAAAATAAGATTCATAAGTATTTCCAAAACCATTATATAAGAAATGCATTGTTAACAGTATGGGAAAAAATAAAAGGTAAAATATATTTGAAAATTCCAGGGTGGTTGTCAACTATGGAAGCATTTGTACACCCAAATTTGGTGGACTTTGAAAAAATCTGGACATATAGAGATATTCTAAATTCTGAAGGGAATTTAAAAACTAAACAAGAAATGGAAAACCAGGGGATCAACTTGTGGTGGTGGGCACATTTACAAATGCAAACTAGATATGAAAAAGACGCTAAGCTGTATGGATTTTATAAAGAACTGTTCCAGTTTCTTATGTGCCTCCTTGGGAAAATTAATTGCCCACTCCTGATCTACATCCTTAGATATATCTTATCCTTTGGTCAAATGTAGAAAGCAATATAGTTAGGAAGATAGGTAGTGCTGGTCTAAAACTTAGTGCACTGTCCACTTGTAGAACACATGATGCATTTCTTCTCAGTTAATCAGAGAACATGGCTGATAGATTTATAGCTGTGTCTTGTGGTTAGGCAAGGCTGGAAATCATGAGCATCCTGCCTGCAAGCCTCAAAGTGATACTGTACATGTGATTCCAGCAACTTCCTTCATGCTCTCCAATCTCCCTTTACCACTGGCTCTATATTTTTTAAGCTGTTTGAGGTTTTTTTTAAAGAATGAGAAGCTGTAAAGATACAAAGCAGAGCAGTTTGAAAATCATCATCATCACCACCACCACCACAATGGGCAGTTGCAGCCAAGTGTTTTGTTTGGAAATAACCCCAATGTATAAATAAGGCAAAAGTAAGCAGAATTAGTACAGGATGCCCTTGGCACTGATTAAATCTGTGTGGTAATTTGTGAGCTTCATTATGCCATTTTGCAAATGCTGAATGTGTCCTTCAACTCCAAAAGGTTGGGCTCTGGGCCAAACTTAGCAACATGGCTCTTTTCTAGCTATGAGAGTTTCAGGCAGTATTAGATCTGTTTCCTGTAAAGCCATTAGAGTAGTTTGGGATGATATGACATGAAAGGAATCAATATAAAACTAGTTTGTTGCTATAACCCTTATCAAAGTGTAGGGTGAATGAAAATTGGCAATTTGCTTTTTCATGTGGCATTTTCTCTATTGAAGCTAGCCTAGTCCAAATTGCTTTTCCACCTGAGAAATCGAATCAAATGGAACAGACACATGTTTAGCAAACATTATCTTAGCCAAACATTAGCCCAAAAAAATTCCATAAACATCTCTCCCTGTTGCTACCAGAAATACAACCATTCGGTTTTTGCTCTTGTTTATATTCAAAATCATGACATTTGGTTGCCACCAATGATATGGGTGTACGAGAACCATAGTCACGTAGATGAGTTTGTAGCAAATTTGAATCAGTCTCTCAGAATAAGTTCTTAGTCACTGTAAGTCATTAGTTCTCTTTTTAAAAATTAACTGTTCTTCATGTACTTACATTTACAAAATATTATTTTTCCATTTACTGTATACATCATCAAGCAAATGCATCACTCCATAAAAATAAGACTGTCTTATTTTTAATGTGATATGCCAAAACTGACATCTCATAAAACACCAAACGGATCCTTAAACTCTCAAGACCAAGGTGATCTCATAGAGCTAAGCTCTTCATGTGACTAAAGATGACAGAGAGGGCAATATTATGTCATGCTTCTTGGGAGGAAGACAGGGGGTGATTGTTGTGGCAATAGCTTTTGGGACTTGCATTGCTAAGGCTGAGGCAAGAGGTCGAATTAAGGAAAACATTAATTGTTCATTTGAAACATGATGTTAGGCCAATCATCTTTGTGTTGCTTCCTCCTCAGTGCTCTAGTGCACGCTAGGTTAATCTTCACTTATATGGACTCAGAATTACACTAATTGGTTCAACAGACTTGGAGAGCATGAGACTGCTTAACAGAGAGATGGGATTTAGGGAAAAAACATTTGGCAACAATTCTAAAGTTATGTCTGTTGATACTGGTCCATCTATTTTAGAATGGTGGTCAGCTGTTTTTCCTGTTCTTGTTTGTTTGCCCTTGCAGATTTGCTGCAGAGATAACAAAGAGCCTCTTTCTTTTTTCTTTTTGTCTCCATCACAGACTAAGGAAGGAAACAACAGCAGAGGTCAGAAGTGTCAAATAGAGGAAGGAAGATCTTTTTAAAGCAAAAATACTACATTTGCAAACCATACACTCACTCTATATGTTCTGGTGCAGCTTTCACTTTGGAAGCATTCATAAAAGGCGTCCCGATCCAGAATTACCAGAAGTGCTGCTAGAATAAGAATCTAGAAGACAGTAGCACAGAAGATATTCAGTCTCTGAACATTAAACTCACAAAGTCCTTCTTTCAGAAACATATATTCTGATTAGATAATGCATGATGTTGAGTAGCTACTTTGCACCACATTTGACTGAAAGTAGAGAACCGAGCTATATCAAAAATGCTTTATTCCAAAAGAAACAGAAGAAAAACATATGCAAAATAAACAGAAGGAAAATGTAGTCTATGTGCTCCTCATAGTCATAGATAATTATACAGGTAGAACTTATGCGTGAACATTCAACTTATGCTGAACATTGCCAATAGTTTAATTTTGGGATATGGTACTTGCCGGTACTTCCCTTACTATATGATATAAAATGTTTTAAAATATAGAACTTATAATGTTAGCTTTTGGAAGACACCTTTATAACTAGTAAGACAGAAAAACAAAAGAATGAATAATTTCCAAAAGGAAATATTCTAAATTGCATGGGTGGTGTAGACATAATAGAATTGATACCAATGGGCATTTTTTCCCTATGTTTTCTTTATGGGGGGTGGGTCCTTTATCTTTGTTCCATTCATGGTTGCCAAGGAAAGGGATAAACCACCCATCCTGATATCAAAACAGTAAGATACTTTGCATTTGTATTACATTTAAAGAAAAAAAAACACCTAAATTTTACATTCTGGCTGGGATGCTGGGAGTTCTAGTCTGGATAACTGGCAGATCACAAGGTAAAAGATGATTTGTTCAAAAGAAGACCTTGTTTTTGAAGAATTTGACATCTTCCAAAGAATCATCTTATACCTAAGAAAAATATTTAATTCACTTTAGATAGACCAAAAGGCAAATAAACCAATCTCTTGCATTGTTTCTTTTGGTAAAGTAAGTTGGGAAGACTACATAGGTAAGATCTTCATGGGTGTGCAAAAACATATATAGAAGCACCAGAGTGGAGCCAGTGACTATGTAACTTTAAACCTTAACTATATACTGGTTACAAGTTAATAGAATGCCTTAAAACACCAACAGTGACAGGTGGCTCACTTTTTAAAGAAATACTCATATTTCTTTTTTCTGTGCACTACTTATTTTCACTTCGAAAATAATTGGAAAAGGGACCCAAATGAATGGCAGGACTAAGCACCATCTGAACAAAAACTAAGGAAGCGGTTTTAGTCAAAAATGTCTGCACTTGGTATGTAAGAAATAAAATTCCCTCACTCCCAATGTTCAGTTATATGAATGCAGTTGTGAGCCTTTACAAAAATACAAAAAAGGATAAAGAAGTATTGGGGAAAATGTGAGCATTACGAATGAAAGAGACCCTGGTTGGTTCTTCCATAAAATCCAAATTTGAGTGATTATACGATAAAGATGTTGCCTAAAACCAACATCTTTATTGTATAATTACTCAGATATGGATTTTATGGAAGAGCCAACCAGGGACTCTTTCATTTGTAATGCTCACATTTTTCCCAACACTTCTTCAACCTTTTTTATTCTTATTAAGACTCATAATTGTATTTATATAACTAAACATTGGCAGTGAGGGAATATGCCTTGAGGATCCCACAACTGACTTAAGAGATATAAATACAGCAGATTTTAAAAGCAAGCCAAATATTGGTTACCACAATTAAACATAAAGCCAATTTTTGTTTTTTTCCCAAAAGTCAACCATCTTATTGAGTTCAATAGTTTTGAAACATCATCGTGAAATATAAACAAATCCTTTAATTCTATAGGCCAAAGCTATTTGAAATATATCTTCATAATAGGAAATTGGGATAGAAGTCTTTTGATATAAAAGAATGATAAAAATGTTAGTGCGATTTTATTCCAACTAAATTTCACTTGTTTTACATATATATATTAATAAAAATAGTGTTAATCCATGTCTACAACCATCATTAGATCAATCATACAAATCATACAAATATATTTAATGATCTATAGTAAATGATGTTTAAACCATCAGTGAGGAAAAAAATAACCAAGTTACATTTTAAAAATCCCTCTATCAACATTAAAATGTTCAGTACAGTATAATGACATGTTGATTTGGCTCTTAATACTGCTTCCAAAATATTTATTTTGATTCTATCCCTTCCTGAAATCTCCCCTTCCTGGACCATCTACCATCTCAGGATCAAAGAGTCCTGTGGAGAAAATGAAAGATGTATTCAGCTAATCAGAGAAGCAATACTTACCATAATACCTGAGAAACAGATTCCTTCAAAATGCCACACATAGATGGTGTGATTATTGCTGGAGGCATATGAAGATTTCCCATCAGGAAAATATAGGAGAATATTTATAACAATACTCCACAGTGCCAGGGGGATTAACAGGCAACTCAAACAGCCGCTGCACTTTTGTAATCCCATGTCAAAAGAGCAGAGAAAACAGTTGATAAAGTCTTGCTCAAGTGTTCAAAAGCTCTTGTTTTCTTGGTTGAATGGAGACATTTTGCATTTACATGAATCAGTTGCTGGGATATGTTTCTTGTCTGACAAGTCCAGTTCCTGGCAAATAAAAGTATTGCTGTCGTAGAACAATACAGTTAGAGGGGGCTGGAAGTGGTGTGGGATGGGCGTTTCTCTGAAGAACTTTACTTGTAAAAGAATTCCCTATGGTTTTACTCAGACACCTCAATCAATTTGAGGAAGACAGAATTCATTTGAAAGGAAAAAGTAAGAATTAGATGTGTGTATAATAGGGAAGTAGAGACTGATTGCTTTTTGTCTACATAGTAGCATGTAATCTGATTAGCACTTAACTGAGATATATCCATCCAACCATAGTGTTTGAATCTTACTTGGAAACTACTGGTGCTAGTTGAGGAAGATCCCAAACTTAACATTTACTATTCTCATAAAAATATATTTAAGTCTAGTTTAAAATGGTGATTATATCATGCTTTCACATAACCCAGGAAAGTGTATTGTTTCTTAAACTGAAGAAACACGGGTATTTCAGCGTGAGAAGAAAAAAACCATAGGGGAGATTTGTTAGTCACATTCAGATACATAAAGAAAGCTAGAGGAAAAATATTCAAGAGCTATTTTCCATAGTCTCAATTTATAATGGATATAAATTGAAGCTATGTAGATTTTGTTTAAATATAAGAAAAATCTTCTTGATGATAAGATTTATACAACAGTGGAAGAGTCTACTGATGGAGATTGTGGGTTCTTCATCTCTAAAGGGTTTTTAAAAGACTTTGATAGATGGCTTAATTAGTGTTTCTGTAAATTGTAGATAAATAATTCTTACAGTTTCTTACAATTCTACAGTTTTATGATTCAATGATAGTAATAATAAGCTGAAGGGGAAGCTTCCTAGAATAGTAGAAATGCAACCAACCTTTTCTTGTGCTTGCACTTTCCATTGGAGGACTTCTGGTTGGCTGGCTCCTACAGAGAACTCTGGGATCTCTTTAGATCAGATAGCACCTAGGCTGGACTATGCACCAAAAGATTATACCATTTAATGATTAATCAAATGATTGCTGGGCAACAAAGGTAAAAATGGCTAGAGGGACTCTAAGAAGAAAGTACTTGGGGCAGAACAGCACGACTTCTTAAACTAGATAAAGAGATGTAAAAATAAAATTAAAATGAATTCAAGTTTCCAGATAATTAAATGAATATATTTGAACCAGGATTAAGCTTTTTGTTATCCTTAAATAATATAAATCTTTCCCATAATGATCACAAGACTGCCTCTTCCAAATTTAATCAACTTCAATTCATTTGTCAAATTAAAATTCTTATTTTCAATTATTCTAGAAGTAATTAGCTTGAATAATATTAATATTCAATGTAAAATAGGATTCTGTTCATGTAGAAACCAGAAAGAAATTTGTCACAACTAAAATAGTATTTCAAACATGGTGCTAAGCACAGTACAAATACCTTACTTCAAATGTATTTGCTTAAAATTATGCTTATGTGAGCAAAACTATTTTTAAACTGCAGATACAAAAATAGGACACAGTTGACTTGTGAATTATGAAATTAACATGAGCCCCAACAATAAACTGGGGCTTAAAGGACTTAAAGGGACTTTTTCCGATATAATTATGTATGGAACTGTAGTCTAAGAATAAAGAATATGTGCTGCCTTCACATCTGAAAAAAACATGATTAATCACAAATAAACCAAAATTGGCAGGGTTCTTGGAGATTAATTACCTATAAACCCCACTTGAAAAACTACACTGCTTAGATTCATACAATAAGTCAAACTGAAGGAAACTAGCCCATGCACAAAAATTGCATTTTCCATTTTTTCTCAAATGGAAAGAATAGAAATAATTAGATAAAAATAAAGGTTCCTTAAACTTTAAGTCTGAAATATAAAAGGTAAAGAATAAAAAGCAAAGTATGAATCAATGTTTGGATGTAAAAGAAGCAAAGATAGGAATAGAAAGGTAGGATGGAGTGCAGGGATGGGTTTTGATGCAAATTAAATTTATTTGGCTTGCTGTGTTCCTGCACTCTACATACTTTTGTTTACACTAAAAGGGAACAAGATGATGGGAATATGTGGGGAACGAGGTAGGCATAAAGAGTTTGAAGATTGGGAGATGGGATGACTTTGGGTCAGTCTTGATTCCTTGGTGACCAACTCAAGAAGTCCCTGCAATTTTCATGGCAAGATTTACGGAAGAGATTTGCCATTGCTTTCTTCTTAAGGCTAAGAGAACGTGAGAGGCTCAAGGTGCCATCAGTGGTTAACAATCACAATTAGGGTAGGTTTCTGGAGTTGCACAGGTAGGTTTCTGGAGCTTGTGGGTCATCTAGTCTTAGTGAATAAAACGTTGGGAGAACAGGGGAAATTGTATCATTGACAATTACCAGAGCAGACATAAACATTTGAATTATATTCACTGTATCAAGACACTGTATCCATTCAAAAGATGGTGTCATTGATTTCCATATGGATTCATTTTCAAGTAGATATAGGTTTTAACCTAAATAACACATTGTTGTATTGTATTAGATTACTAAATATACTGATAAAATTTCTGCACGTATGAAACAAAATCTTGTATCAGATTCTTTAAAAAAATCTCCATTAAGTTTTAAACAAACAATTGAATAGGAACAATGTTTGTAATATGAGCAATGCTGAGCTAATAAAATAAAAATATTTGCCAAATGTAATTTTACAGCCAGTTCTCACACATACAACGGTTGCAGTGTCCCTGCAATTGCACTTCACAGACAGCTTCTGACAAGCTGGGTCAATGGAAAAACCAGAAGTAAAATAGAAGCCACGTTCAAGTGAAGTCTCATGTTATGACTCTGGGAATTTCATGGAATTTGTTATTTTCTGCCCCCTTCTCCTGCATCATTAGTTGGAAGGAATTGCTTTTAAGGCGGCTAAGCAATACTAGATCTTTCACCAAAGGCTACAATAAGACCATGGGGTAGGGGCGGGGCCTTCTCCCAAGTTAAGTAGATGTTGGCCTTCATGATTTCCTCCAAAACACAATAATATCCTTCCCCTTCCAATCTTATCAGATTAAGCAGGATTTTTAAGTGATAGCATTTTGGCTTTGATGCAGTTACATCAGAGGTAAAGACTCCTGTTTTTACTCTAAAGAAAGGGAAGCCTGCATCTTACCCAGCTGTTAATCAAACTGTGAGAACTTCCTCCATCTGCTCTATTCAGTAACATCCTCTTACAGTAGGTACTGATGTCTAGGCTTTAGAACTGATTTCGATTACACAAAGTTGCATAAAATAAATGAAATAACTATTTATCATCAGAACAATTGACCAGAACATTCTATTGCAAAAGTATCCTTGGCCCTGTTTAGTATTAATTTTGTTCACCCTCCCAGAGTTCCTTTTGGTCGATGGGCAGCTATATAAATTGGTTTGTTTCTTATTTATTTATTTTTATTTATTTATGAAATTCATATGCCACCCATTTAACTGATAAGGCAACTTTAAAAATAAAATGAAGTAACTCATTTTCCTAATTTTATTGCTTCAATATTTGCAAAAACTGCATCAGAGGCAAGCCTAATATTACAAAAATAAGTTAAGTGTGAATGTCAAAACATCTATTTGCTTCTATTCTATTCATTTTTGCCAATTCTCCCACCTGCTTCCTCCTCTTCTGTAGTTTTAGCACACTGTTTCTAAATACACCCATCTTAGGAGATCAACAGAGCAGAGTGACAGGAAAGTCCTGTTTTATGAACTCTGCTCCTTTCACTGAAGGGAAGTTAAAATCAAATCCAACTTTTTAAATTAGCCTTCCTGTATCAGAACAGAACAATATGAAATGCATATTTTATGCAGTAATAAACACTGCAGAGTTTGGGGATTTTACACATATCCATGAGAATTTAACATTTCTTTCACTTTCAGCAATATTTTTTTCTTAATTACTTTTAGTAATATTTTTTTCTTATCACAAATGAGATAAAGAAAAAATTTAAAAAAAAATTTCAGCAGATATATAGCAGTCCTGAATACAAAGTGTGAATTTTAAGACTCCTTTCTGTTTTTAAACTCTTTAAATATTTGTGTCTGTCTTATATAACATGTCCTACTAGCATATACATTAAGGAAAATTAAGAAATATTATCCTGACAAACAAATCCTTTTTGTGGATATCTCTTATTTGCTGATTAGATAATTTATATTTATTTATAAAGAAGTGTAGCATAAAAATCTAAAAATACCAACATTTTCTCAGAATGCATTAACAGTAGTTGATTAAACATATATACTAGAGAAGTCTAGGGAAGAAATAACCTGGGCTTGTCAGTTATTCAAATGTTTATATATTTGTTTTGAAGAACAAATACAATGTCAACAAAAACATTTTATATTATTGTGACTAAAAATGTTCATAAAGGATATAATCAACATACTTTATAGTTACTCAGTTTATACAAACACTAAATCATAATATGTTTTTAAAATGATATACAATATGCAAACATCTCAAAAAAATAAAAAATAAATGATTTTGCAACAAACTATAATTGGATAACATGATTTACTGATTTTCAGGTCTTGATTTTAAAACAGTTCTTTTCCTTTTAAACTTGGAATTCTGACTTCTGGTTTTGTTTGTGAATTACTTTTATACTACTTTTATCTGATTAAGCATTATGAGAAAAAAAGCAGCCAATATACTCTGAGTAGCAGATAAGTATCCCATTCCTAACTCACATGTAAATAAATAAATAATTGAACCTGGGATTTCTCCATCCAAAACATGGACTGTTATCATCTAACTATGCTAATAGATCAAACAGATCTTGATCTACCACCTTTTGTTTTCTAGCATATCATCATGCTGTGTCCCTTTGAAATCTGTTTCTATTCACTCCATCTAGCCATTTTTTCTTTTCATACTAGTATCCCAATGCACAACCATCAGCTCGAGGATCAGATCCAGCCCAAAGTACACTGTAGGAAGAAGAGACAGGTTTTTGTCTCCACCATTCTCCTTTGGTGATAATTTGACCACGTCCAAACATGCTCCTGGCATAGCCAAGTACAGGTTCCATGACATTATGGCCCATGGCTCTCAAATCATCTGTTATGTTTTGAGGAATGCCATCTTCCAAGAACACCTGCCACGCATCTAATGATTGAAAGAACAGCATTCAAGATTTTATTTGCAGTTTTGCAATACTGAACAAATGTCCAATTGTTTTACAAGTACCAGCTAAAATATTTTTTTCAGCACTTAAGCATGATCCCACAAAAGGAAAATAAAATATTCTCACCCATCGTCAGAGGAATAGGAAAGGGAGTCTGAATAGGAACATTTTTAAAGCAACTCCTTGAAAATTATTGAATGACAGCTATAACTCTGTAGCTAAGAAGCAATAATGCTACATAATCTGCATCCTCTTTATAACTGAGAGAAGAAAACAAGGCATCCCTTCCTGTCCAGTCATGTCTGATTCGAGGGGGCGGTGCTCATCTTCGTTTCTTGGCCCAGAGGAGCCAGCGTTGTCTGAAGGCATTTTCCTTGGTCATGTGCCCAGAATGGCTATACTCCAAAGGAGCACAGAACACTTCCCATCAAAGTGGTACCTATTAATCTACTTGCATTTGCATGCATTTGAACTGGTAGGTGGGAAGGAGCCCTCGTTCTATGTAGCTTCTTTATATAATGTTAATTGGCAATTATGTACACAATCTGTGGCCCTACAACCAGACTTTTTTTTTTAACATATTGGATGTAGCCTCCATAATGCTGAACTGCAATGATTAATGCGACATCAGGAAAACATGATGAAATATACCAAAATAATATTCACTGCATTTAATTGATTAAACTGGAATATATACATATTCAATTCTGAGACCTGGTTCGGTGTAATGATTTAGGCACCAGGCTAAAAAAAACCAGGATACCATGAATTCTGGTCCTACCTTAGGCACAAAGCCAACTGGTCCAGTTACTCTTTCTCAGCCCTAAGAAGAAGGCAATGGCAAACCATTTTTGAAAATCGTGCCAACCTAACTGCAGGGACACATACATTTATACATGCACGCGCGCACACACACACACACACACACACACACACACACACACTTTTAAATCATTTTGGTTGTGACACTAGCCACCCAATTGTAGTGAATATATGCAGCTTTAAAGAACAGATTTTATTTTATTTTATTTATCTCCTTTTCTTTCTGTACACACTATGCAGAAGTGTATGCATAGCACACTATGCTAAATCTTGGTAAAATGGCCAAGATCCTCAGGGTGGGATATATACAGGGTGAGGTTAGGGACAGAAAGGCTGTCTCTGCTAATTTTATCTTTGTGAGAACAAACCTGCAAAGTGGGCTAGGTTGAGAGAGAATTACAGATCCAAAATTACCCAGTGAGTTTCATGGCCAAGTGGGATAACCCTGATCCAAGCACAACATTTAACTGCTGCAGTGCACGTTTATGACCTTCCTTCCTGTTCACTTTTACACCTTATGTTTCAGTCAAGCAGATGAGGAATGCTGAGCTTGTGCTTTAAGAACTTCCTACTAATAATGCAATTCATCAATAGAGATCTTTGTCCAAGTTGATTCTGAGTAAGCTGTTGGGTGAAAAGACAGGCTTTCAAGCAGCCTTCACATCAGCCTAGCATCAACAAAGGATCAAGAAAGTCAACATCCCCAAAGCCACCAAGTTAAGAAAGGCTGTGCAACTAATTGTTAATGCTTGCCTCAAGGACTATTGAAACCTGCTTCTAAGTAAACCTTATCTCATTTTACCAACAGGCAATAGGTCTAAATAGATTATCTAACTGAGTACTCTTCAACTAAGATAAATACAAGACCTAAGTTCTATGACTTCTTAAAATTATGTTCCTGTATATTGTAAATACAGAAAAATAAATGAATGAATATATACACAGACAGAGAGGTGTGTTGGAACCAGCTTGTACTAGCTCATAAGAAGTGATTGGTAATTTGTTTTGAAAAACTGTTAGCTGGAGTTGAGCTACTATGCTTAGTGTGCTGAAAATCTGTTCAATGGCTATTGGGTCAGCACAGGAGTGCCAGTGGAGCCACCTAAGCTAGTTCTTATATATTTACCAGCACATCACTATGTATGTGTATACACACACATTTATATACATACATACATATGTGTGCTTATGAAATGTATATTCTACTGTGCCTTCAGGATAGGTTCCTCTTTTTTGGCTATATCAAGTGGAGCCTAGACAGATTTTGGAAGTGGTTTGCCATTGCCTCCTTCCTAGGGCTGAGAGAGGATGACTGGCCCAAGGTCTTGCAGCTGGCTTTGTGCCTAAAGTGGGATTAGAACTCATAATCTCCCAGCTTCTAGCATGATGCCTTAATCAACGCACCAAATTGGTTCTTTGGAAGTAACATACAGAGACTAAAATACATCATCAGAAGTAAATCTATGTGTGGGAGGGTGGAGAAATGACAGGTTTCCATTTGCCATTTCTTTCAAGCCTATTATTCTATGAGAGCTACATCTACTGCAGCCATTCACCCAAGAGCACCAGTAAAATAAAATCAGGTAAATGAAATAAACCAAAAGGAAAAACAAAGTAATAAATAGAAACCAAATGCACCATAGAGTATGAAATACAATTGTACTGATTTCAACATAGAACAAACTGTATGGGTTTTATTTCATTGCTACTTGGAGAAAAAGAATCCATCACCGAATTTAATTATAGTAGAATACTTACTGCTATCCAAACTTGAGCTATTAAATCTTAATCAACAATATTTTCTTAGCACTGTGTCAATATAATGAGGGTCTGACAATTACTTTGGATTTCTTCCTGCTCATTTAGATAGAATATAAATTCCATTTTATAGTCTTACCTTTTTTGCTATATTCCAAATAAAAACGAGATGCATCCAAAGCCTCTTGTGGATTCTTTCCAAATTCAAACATATTCAGTAGTACCTATAGGAACATTCAGAGGAAAATGCAAACCTGGATTATTATGGGAATAATTCATTCATAAAATACCAACAATCTAGACCAGTGGTTCTCAACCTTTTTAATGCCGCGACCCCCAACCGGTCGTAAGTCGAGGACTAAACCGGTCATAAATCGAGGAATAAAACAGTCGTAAGTCAAGGACTAAATCGGTCGTAAGTCGAGGACTACCCAACCGGTCGTAAGTCGAGGACTTTCCCTGCCTGGGAGCGCCACGCATGTGTGGTTCCGCCCCCTGCGTCAGCCGAGGTGTAGCTGGCAAGCAGCAGAGACAGAGCAGGCCGACCACCAGCTGGCCCAGCTCAAGGGAGGTAAGGCACCTGCCGGAAAAGGGGAAAAAAATGGCGGACAGCCTTGGCGACCCCCGTGAAATGGTCGATCAACCCCAAATGGGGTCGCGACCCATAGGTTGAGAACCGCTGATCTAGACAATATTGTTACATAAAAACATATTTTTCTATGTATATTTTGCTATGTTCATGAAATTACTCTCAAGATAATTTGATGCTCATTTCAAGCATACTATATCCTGCCTAAGCCTTAGATCCACTAAAATATAGGCTGAATGCTCAGCTGACTTTATTTTATTTTTATATTCTTTTAATTAAAAAATAAATCAAAAGCTGATATGTTACAAGGTAGAATCCCAATCTCAAACAACACATTAAGCAAACAAACACACATTTCATAGATGCTGCTGAATATGATTATTATTCAAATGAAAAGAATAGGCAGCTACAACTCTTCTTCTTTTGGAAGTATGCCTGCTTTATGGTGAAAAGGGTAAATGTAAATGGAAGTGGAGTTAAAAGAAACCGTCTTGGAGAAGTTATGATGGTGAGAAACAGTCACACCCTTATGTCAATTTTGCTGTTTTGTGGCTGACCTTGACTTCATGACAGTTACTTTGTGAAAGTGCCCATGAAATTTTCCCCAAATTTGTTCAAAAACATAAACTGTATTCAGTCATGTAAGCTTTGAGGTCCAAAGGATTTTCTGAGAATAAATTATACCCAGAGGGAACAGATACTTACTTGAACCTGAGCTTGTGGTTGCATGAATCCTCCCATAACTCCAAAGCAGCACAACAGTTCTCCTGTATCAGCTGCAGTGGCCAGAGCTGGTATAATTGTATGATAGGGCCGCTTCCGAGGGCCCAGGCAGTTTGGATGATCATGCTGTAGTGAAAAACTGGCTCCTCTGTTCTAGAGATAAATCAGTGCACTAAAAGTCACAGCCAGATAAAGCAATCCATGGGGTTGAATCCTAGTTATCTGCAGTATTGATAGAAGAGAACATTTGTAGCTCAGTATTGAACTGTTGGGTCCTTGTGCTCTCTGAGATTGCTAATTTTCTTGCAGACATTACCAAACTAGATAACATAATCAGTGCACTGATAATGTTACCCAGTTTGGGTAATGAAACATCTGCAAGAAAACAACCAAGCTTAGAGAGCACTAAGGACTCCACAGTTCAACCCTGAGCTACAAATATTCTCTTATTATCAATGCAGGTAATAATAAAACAATGTAATAATTAAAAAACTGCAAAAAAGTAATAGTCCATTGACTGATAATAGCAATAACAATAGCACTTAGACTTATATACCGCTTCACAATGCTTTACAGCCCTCTCTAAGTGGTTTACAGAGTCAGCATATTTCCCCCAATAATCTGGATCCTCAATTTACCGACCTCGGAAGGATGGAAGGCTGAGTCATCCTTGAGCCAGTCAGGATCGAACTGCCAAACTGCTGTCAGCCAGCAGTCAGCAGAACTAGCCTGCAGTATTGCATTCTAACCACTGTGCCACCATGGCTAATAAAAATATTTGTATAAAATAGACATCATTAAAATGAAGATGAAAAGACTCCTAATTACATGATATTTACATGATCTGTGATAATAGTTCAACACAGTTTTTGAAAAGATTCCGGTGACTAAGAGAAATTTTAAATAGAAGAGGAAACCTTTAAATAGAGAAGGAATTCTTGCACATACGGATGAAGCTAAAGCCTGGAGTTTGGCTGTGAAAATGAACTAGCTTTCATTTTTTAAAAAAAAAAATACAAGAATTTGAAATGGCTACACTTAAATTAGGAACAATTTCGAGCCAATCCTGATATGAATTAACAGCATACCACACTGAAAAATTAATGCTAAAACAATCATTTCACCAAGCACACATTCATAATGCTGAAATAATACTTTCTCACTTGCAAGGTAAATCCACAGCCATCTGGCACCAGCCCTGCACCAAATCCTTTGTACAGGCTGTTAATGAAAGAGCAGGCATTGCCTTTAGCATCCACCACGCTAAAATAAACGGTGTCACTGCCCACTGAGGAGGGATTTCCGTGACTATATTGGGCAGTTGCTCTGGTGAGAGGAAAAAAAGCAGAAAATTTAAAATGCTGGTATTGTTTGTAGTATTTATAAAGTGTTGAGAACTGAAATCTAGCTGCAGCAATATTTCTCAATTTACTTATTTGAGGATATTGTTTATTTATATTGGGCCAGAGTCTATGGCAAGGAATCCACTTCTATGTATCCAAAGTCCACAAAAATGTTTGCAAATAATTATATTTTTTTCAATTGTTGTTTTATTCTACGCTCACTGTACAAGTGAGTGATAAATAAAACTGCTATGACTACAAGAGGAGACGGGACCAAGATTTTTTGTCCATTGTTTTTCTGTTTTGGGACTATGAAAAAAAACATGGAGGCATAATGCACATCCTTTTTATTTTTTTTGTGGGAATCCAAAACATATAGAAATATTCTGGATCAGGACTGTGGAGCATTTTCTTTTTCAATTAAAGTGGCCAATTAAGAAAACTTTCAACAATTTATTTATTGCATTGTGTACTTTAGAAAGTTGAAGCAAAGTTACATAGGAAATGATCAAATGATCTCCTGTGAACAGGTAACAACTGGATTGTTTTAAGAAGTGTTTGCACTGGGAGGTTAATCCCAAACATAAATTAGAGTAAGCAAACATTCTATCTAAAGTACAAAGTTCGGTATTTTTAACAGACAGATCCTTGGGATTTTCAAGATGTATTCTGGCATTATGGCCAATCTGAAAATATTCCAGCATAATGGTAAACTGTCCTGTTTATTGACCATTCAAAGTTACAGTAGCACTTAAAAAGAAACTTTATAACTGTGTCTTCACACTTAGGACAGTGTCCCTGCAGTCACAATACTAGGATTTGAGCATTTCATAACGAGTGGGTGCTTAAGACAATCACAACATCCTGCAGTCCTGATATCACCATTTATGATCATCACAGCCAGCTTCCAACAAGTACACTCTACGAAGAAGTAAAATCACAAGTAAAATCACATTGCTTAGTGATAGAATTGTCAGTCCCAATTCTGGTTGTTCAGCAAGTATTACCATCATATTATTATTGTTGTTGCTGTTGTTGTTATTTTAGATCATATTAGCATGCCTTCCTCTTATTTTTCTCCAGAACAATCCTGTGAGGTAGGTTAGAGCCAGAATGACTGACCCAAAATTCCTCAGTAAGCTTCAGTTTCTGAACGTGGACCTTAACCTGAGTTCCCCATGCCATCTCTGCAACCTCTATGAAGAATTATTTTCCTATGAAGAATTATTCTCGGATTTTCCAAGTGTAGATACTCCCTAAAATTAATTATGAAACAAAGCTGTTTTGAAAGCAGCTCATGCAGTTTAGAGAAAAACTGCACAATCAAGCAACTGGAACAGCTGGTGAATATATTAATAAAACTTATTTTTTTAAAAAGTGAAGCCACTAACAGTAACACTGTGGTATTATTTGATATTTAATAAGTAATTAATAAGTAGTAGCATTTATAACAGCAAGACAGCTTACCTATGTAAATTGATTAACTTTGAACGGTCTCTGGCATAAGATTTAGAAAGGAGCTGTGCTATAGGTATTGTTTCTTTTTCTGGATCAGCACAAAACCAAAAACTATCAGCAAAGCTCAGCTTGAATGCTTCAATTAAAATGTGCAAATAACGAGTAGAATTATGGTCCAGATCTACAGAAAGAAACCAAGATAAATTATTGTTTGCAATTCATAAATTTCTTCACATGCATAGAAGTATAACTGTGTACATTGTACTTACTGATGAGAAATAGTAAATTGATTCATACATTGTTTTCTACACCAGAGGATGCTCTTTGCCCAGGCATTTGGTTAGTGTGACTGAAGCCCATTTTCTTCTTTTTCTTATTCCTGTTTAAGCTTTCTATCTCTGCTATTTTTGTTACTTTTTGTCCTGTACTTTTTGCTTTAAAATGTTTTTAATGATTTTCTAAACCACCCAGAGTTGTTGGGAGCTGCGCAGCATATAAATTTAATTAAGATGATGCCTGAGAGCATTGGATGTGCCCTATCATCACCAGAGCATCTCCAGAAATTGTCACTAGTTTTTTTCAACTGACAAAAGGGAAGATTATGGGTTTAATAAAAATTAATCATATTTAAGTGTATGTAATTAATTTAAATTAAATTTAAAAATGAATTAAATTTTATTTTTGCCCCAGGTCCAATTCATCTTTTGGCCCTACTATCATATCATACCATTCAATTTCTGACTTTGTCTAGAAAAATATTTCCCTGAAAAATCAGCCCAGGACAAAAGTGCCATTCTTTTTCTGCTCCATTCTCTTCCAAGGTCAACCTACTATCCCTCCTTTATTGCTGATTCTCATGGATCTTCCCCCTTGTTCCCATCCACTTGTCTTTGTACTTTGGCATTTGCTATCAAAATGTATATGCCATCTGCTCTTCCCATTCCAGCTGGCTTACAATATATGAGATAAAACATTAATAAAATCATAAAATCAATCCATAAAAGCTAATCTCCACCATAAGAGACAGGATTTTCAAGATGGTATTTGACAGGTTTTAAAAAAATGTTTCACTACACTAATGCTCTTTCCAAAGCCACTGATATACTTTAAAAAGCCAATACTTCAGGCTAGGAGGCCTAAATCTGTGATTTCACAAGTATTCCTTATATTCACCAGTGATCTCATCTACATATTCTCTACAAGCAGCATTTTAGAACTGTAATTTATCTTATCATCATTGGGATCAGCAGAATAGGGAGCTAGATTAGAATTGTGCCCTGAACATTCCTGGAGAGTTGGAAGGCGTAATGCTACATGTATTTATCAAGAATGATCATTTTTTGTTTTCCTTATGGAAGCAATTTTACATACTGTATATTGCTACAATTAGATTGGGATCTAAATTACAATGGATGTAATTTTACATATATTGCTACATGATTAGGATTTTTTATAATATAAAAATAAAACATTATCCTTTCTAAAAAGGCTTAATTGCTTCCTGTATTAAAATTATGTCTAGGAATTTCTATGTTTGAATGAATAATATTGTGATTTATATAAATAAAGTTTTCCTCAAATTGAGTGAATCTGGGAATTAAATGAATATGTTAAATTTGTTACCTAGGAAACATCACAGAAGAAATTTGCCATTTTCTCAATTTTTTCCTCTGGTTTCCCATTATTAGTATTGCTTTAAGACAATAGTTAATAGATTTGCTGACATGGCAAGTTTTGTCAATCTTTTGCATAGTACTGTAAATGTCTCTTAAATAAGTCTTACTTTTAATGATCCTTCATTCAATATAAATTTTGACAAAAGGTGTTTTTTCCCCTCTTTTTTTCCTAAAGTAGAAACATCTGGCACTTTTTTTTCTTAGAAACAACAGATATGTACAAATTAGAAGCTGATCATACCTTTCATATTGTAATTTTCTAAAATATTCAAGGCTAATAAAGTTGTGATTCCTTGTCCATTTGGAGGAATTTCCCAAATATTCATGCCCTAAAAATGATTGACACTACTTAATACTGACCATCAGCCAAATAAATAAAAACTTTCTGATACAATTCTAAATGAAATTCTTTACTTATTTTTCAGCTAATGAAACATTAACACTTTAACATGGATTACCTTTCCTTAATAAGAAAAATGTAACCACACACAAGAAATATATGATGCAAATAACATTAAATAAATGTCATTAGTTTTAAGCAACAATATATGCATCAATGTAACATGTATTTAAATTCTTGAATCGATTATATGCTTGTGTCAATTAAATACTTGCTCATAATAATTCCTAAAATGTTTCTGATATTTTTTTGAAAACATTTATGAAGATCCTATACTGTATATACACAAAGACAGTTAACAATGAAATGCATCTTTCTAATAGATTCTGACAACTTCTAGGAAGATAGATTTTACAAACAATCAAATAATTATTTTAAAACACAAAGGGTTTGGGACAAGGTGCAGCTATTAAACATTTTTCATTAACCTACAATTGCTTGATCCTCATTTTTAACACATGGATCTTTAATGTTTTTGTGGTTCTAACATGACTAATAGATGTAATATTACACCTGGGTTTTAAAACATACCATTTTTTGCATGACTGAAGAACTTGGCACACTTTTACTAACATATAAGTATATAAGCATTCCTTTTTCTTACGTGAGTTTTTTGCCGTCATGGTTTCTGTAACAGACAGCTGTTACATTCTGAACTGCTAGCAGGTTATTTGATATCCATGAGCAAGAGCTGAATAATCAGATTTATACACTTGCCAAATCACTGAGAAACTGCCTCACTTTCCTTCTGTAATAAGAAGCTCTCTGAAACTTAAAAATATTGACTACATTTCCTTTATTTGATTCAGTTCTCCAAATTATTATTTATCTCATCTTTCATTTAATGAAGAATAACTTTGCAACAAATATCATCTGGGTGCTACATGAAACTAGTCGTTATGAATTTTGTATTACGAATTATATAATGCTATTATATATTTATTATTATAAATTTTATAACCATATTACACATTATATAATTATGAATTATATAATTTTATTATGCATTTAGTATATATATTTATTATGGCTATCATGAATTGTGGGATGGCGCAGTGGCTCAGCGGATAAGCGCCATGCAACAGGATGGGCTCCCATCTTCGCCCCGTTTCCTGCCCACCTAGCAGTTCAAAAAAGTGCAAATACAAGTAGATAAATAGGTACCACTACAGTGGGAAGGTTAACAGCTTTCCATGACATCATGCTGGACGTATGAGGGCAGAAATGTCTTCAGACAGTGTTGGCTCAATATCCTTGAAATGAAGATAAGTGCTGCCCCCTATAGTCAGCAACGACTAGCAGAATAAAATCCACAGGGACTCCTTTACCTTTTTTACCTATCATGAATTGTATTATGAATTGTATAGATAATCGGCTACAAAATCCATTTGGAAGCTGAAAAATAGTTATACCCTGCTTTATTGTTATGTTCACATATTTCCTGAAGAATCTGAATGGCCATTGCACTGATGATGTAACCCAGTCAGGTAATAAAACATCTGCATACGAATAACCCAGCTCAATGAGTACCAAGGACTCCACAAGTAATTCCTGAACTACCAATAACCTTGGGTGTTTGGGGTTTTATGTTGTGGGTTTTTATGTGTTTTTAAACCTTGTAAGATGCCGAAGTCATTTGGATAAGATGGGTATCTGTATAAATTATATATATTGTTTGGTTTCATAATATAGTTATTACAAAAATCAGTGAGATATACTTATGAATTATATAACAACAATTCAAAGTATATCACCATATTTCCCTTTCTTATAGAACATCTTGCCCCCAAAGATCCAAAACACCATTCCTTAATGTTTGGAAGAGTCAAGACCAGAATCTTCTGTAATGGTATGTGGGAAAGATCTTGGGAGATGGGTCAAAGAGATGATGCCTAGGGAATAGTCAGATAAGAGGCAGCACAGAATAAGAGGCTCAGAATAAACCTTCCCTAAGCTCCCTGGCTGTAAAAGTGACAGCAGGAGAATTGTCCCTTCAGACTTGTAAAATTCTGTTCATGTAGCTTTACAATAAAGTAGAATTAGTTTATCTGGTTGTGTTTCCTGTCTAGTCCAGGGCTTTTCAACCTTTTCACCCATTGTACCACTTTTAGGATATGGCAGTATCCGAGTACCACCAGTCGCCTAGCAAGGTGTCAAAAACTTGACGACCCCCCCCAAAAAAGGAAAAAAGTGATGAAGTACAGGTAGTCCTTGACTTACAACAGTTCGCTTAGTGGCTGTTCGAAGTTACAATGGCACTGAAAAAAGTGCCCCCCAAGCCACAGCCGAGCAAGACACCTGCCCGCCCACCCGGCGGCACTCTTCCTCTTGTCCGAGGTTTTCATTGTTGTGAGCTCCAGCCGTCTCTCGCTCAGGCTTGTGCAGTGCTGCCACCGGTTCAGCTCATTCCCCTCCCCCGCTACCACTTTTCTAGGATGGTCGCGTACCACCTGCCAGGTGCCAATGTACCACAGGTGGTACCCGTACCACTGGTTGAAAAGCCTTGGTCTAGTCTACCTGCTAAGGCTGTCAGCATTTGAAGTTTGAAGAAGGAATCCTGATGCAGGAACTGTATTACTTGGGGATGCCCAGAACAGTATGCAGCCGGGGGGGGGAGGCTGGCCAGTGCCTTGAGAACCCTCCCTTCACCTTTTAACTTATTTTAATCATGTTTAATCATCCTTGCATCCTTCTAAATTTTTATATACTGTTTTTATAACTTAACATGTTATTTCACATTACCCAATGTCCCTCTCTGAGGGAAATTAAATTTAATTTACCTAGTCTCCTTTAAAACAGCAACGCAAGCATGCCAATATGCACTTAGTTTATAATTTCAAAGAGTTAGAGGCATAACATTGTATATTTATTTATTTATTTATTTATTATTCAAATTTATATCCCGCCCTTCTCCTTGCGGACTCAGGGCGGCTGACAATCAATTAAGAACACCAATAACATCACAAAATTAAAATTAATTAAAATGAAATATTTAAATTGTCTGATTAAAATATGATTAAAAACCCCTCTAAAAACCCCTCTTAAAAATTACCCTAGGCCAGTCCCGCTTGTTGGAATAGCCATGTCTTGAGGGCGCGGCGGAAGGAAGGGAGATCAGGGATCACCCTGATCTCTGGGGGTAGCTCATTCCAGAGGGTGGGAGCTAGTTTTGAAGAACACTTGTTTTATATCACTCCATTTACATCAGTTACAAGAAAGTTTTGAACTCCAATCTTCTATTTCTCTTTTGCAGGGGAAACTGTCAAAGCTGAATTTGATTTGCAAGGTCTGTATTCAGGATATGGATCTTTGCCAAAGATTTATTAATAGTGCTAAGGGGGAAAATATCAAAAAGAGGTTACAGAACAAAGGCAGGAGTGAAGTCCCAAAAATGATCTGGCAAGGAAAATTCCTTTTCTTTTTAGACTTGGCTACAGGACTGAAAATAACTCCTTTGAAGTGTAGAGAAAAACAGATTGAGTCAAGTATTCCTGTTTAGGGAATGTTCTAAGATAGAAGTAACACAAAAAGAGAATCATCACACAGAACAGTCTCCTGATCTTTGCATTTTTGGGGTTTAGTCTACATCCAGTTTCTAAAGTTAAGTCCCATTTAACTTAAGTATTTTACGAAGTTTGAGTTTAATCTTTAGCAATTAATAACAAGAACATAAGTAGTCCTATTTAGTCACTAAATAGTTGGGATGATGAATTCTGTTGTTATGTGAAGCAGTTGCATGAACCATCACATTTTTTAATGATCTTACTTCAGCTTTCCTTTGCTTTACAGGCCTGCAAAGGTCATACACATGGAGGACTAATCACAATATCACTATTTCACCATTATCATAACTGCAAATGTTTGTTAAATAAGTCAGCAGCTAAATGAAGACTATCTGTAATGGAATAAACACAAATGGACAGACAAGTATACATAGATACAAAGAATATGTATTCTATGTTATATTCATGAAAAAGATGCTACTATGTGCTAAAAGTGACAATGATTTGTCAGCTTACTACTATTCCATAGCTGATGGTACATTTTACTATTACAGCATTTCAAAGAACATCATCTGAGTGGGAAGGGATCTTGAAGGTCTTATCTAACCTCTTATTCAAGCAGGAGACCCTATTCCATTTCAGACAAATGGCTATCCAGTCTCTTCTTAAAAGCTTCCAATGATGGAGCACTCACAACTTCAAAAGGCGAACCGTTCCATTGGTTGATTGCTTTAACTTTTTTTCTCCTTAGTTCTAGGTTGCTTCTCTCCTTGGTTAGTTTCCATCCATTGCTTCTTGTCTTGTCTTCTGGTGCTTTGGAAAATAAGTTTCCCCTCTCTTCTTTCTGCCAGCCTCTCAAATCTCTCATTTTTTCTGGACAGTACCATGCATCCATTCATTATACAGAGCAAGGAAAGGGATCAAAAATAATAAACTAAAAAGTTAAAGGCAGAAGATAAAAGGAAGGAACAGCTCACTAAATCTAGTTCACATTAGCATCATTCACTATACCTTTCCAAATCTTTCTAGCCTTGCATGCCATTTAACTTCCACTGTATTGTGGCCATGTGCTATTGTGTATGGTTTCCTTAGAATAGCATAATACATGTTGGAAAGCCAGCACTATCGAATATTGCTAGACTTTATGGGACGATTCAGATAGGTTAAGAACAACTTGCTCCATGTTTAGAAGTCAAACCAAATTACTTCTTAAACCTCTGAGACAAAACCTATGAAGAATCATATAAGCATCCATGTGGTTATATCTTTCCATATGATTAAGTCTGGCATACCTTGTAATTTGTGACAATAGGCTCAACTTCTTCAGTGACATGACTTTTCAGGCCTCCTAAATCCATTACTCCACCATTATTCTGAATAACATCCACGATTGCTTTAGCCACATGGCCTTCGTAAAAGCCTCTTTTGCCAGATTTTGCTAACTCCTGAGGGGAAAAAAATCAAAAGAATAGTGATGTCCTCAACAGCATTTCTGAATAGTATCTTTTTATAATGTTTCTTTGGCACTTTTCAGTTACATAGACAGGGACAGTAGAAACTGGAAGTAAATGCTGGTTTCTGGCAAAAAAAAAATATCATCAATCAGGGCCACCCAATCGCAGGATGCTATAAATAACCATAAATCCAGGCCAGTTGCTGAGTGTCTGAAATGTGGTCCCCTGAACATGTGTGTGTGTGTTTGAGCAGCCATTGGAACTTTGAATCGGGATCATAAGCATCTTTTTTGTGGTCTGGCATGACTTTGGTCACTGAACAACTGATTTTAAGTTGGGGACTACTTGTAAATTTGCAGATACAACATTTTAGGGACACCGTGGGCTATGGAGAAAAGAAGAAGAGATAGCTTGTTTAGGCATTCTGAAATGCCATGTGGTAATGACCTTGAGGAAGAATGAAAGAGAATCTGCCTGGAGGTATCAGCTAGGTATCAGAAAAAGAAACTTAGGAAGGACCAAGCTGTTAAAAGTCACTGCAGGAGATCTGTACTTTCAGATTTGCAACACTGATATCAGCCCTCCAGACAGAAAACATTACCAGATGAGCTAGTTCTACTTTACTGTAAAGCTACATTGACTGAAAGGTCCAAGTCTGAAAGTACAAATTTCCCATGACCTCTTTTAAGAGCCTGATCAATTTGGGCAGATCCTAAATTTCTTTTTCTAACCATAACCATAATTCTTATTCATCAGCTTTTGCCAGTAATATGTCAGTTTGTTGCAGGCTTTCTAAGGAATGTTTTCAACCTATATTGCAAGTACTAAAGAAAAAAAATATTTATTTTGACTTCTGAGAATGTGCCACAGGTGGGTTAAAGATTGTTTATACAATGGTTGTATACCATCGTATGGTATATTATGGTTTATGGTATAGTTAAACTAAATTAACCCTTCATAGAAGCCATAAAACATAGTTTATAAATCACAACAGCTAAGGTTGCACAGCACAGTACACTATATTATGATTTGATGTGATGTGATGTGATGTGGGAACCCAGCCACAAAGTGCAGTCTGTTTAGAACAAAGTTCAGCAATTAATTGAAACTTAAAAGCCTAGTCAACTTTTCTGTAGCTTGTTATTACTATTTGTTTCCTACTTGTAAAGATAAATCATGTTATAATTTTCTGAAAGATAAACCAAGAGAGTAAGCTAATATAACTGAATATTCCTTGCTTATGCAGATTTTCCTGACAGCTGGTATAACAAGTTAGAAATACATCAAAAATATATTGGCTCAAGTACAATAGAAATGTTATCGTGTCAATTGGATTTGAGTACATCTCTCTATCTCCTGCCATTTCTTTTCATGGTTCCACTGCCTCCTAATGTCCTATAATGTCTTATTTTATAGCAAGTCATGCTTTCCCTCTTTCTCTGAACTGACAAACTATGGTACTTTCCATTCAAGCTAGAATAAACAGTATAAGACTATAGTTTGGATTTTCTATCAACTAAACCAATTTTGTACAGTCATTTGAGATTAGGAATTTTACAACATTTTTTCATTGGGGCAATAAAACATAATAATTGTGCATCAGAATCACTGTAATATTACAGCGCATGCAAAACATAAGTAGCTTCATCAAAAGGCAAAAAAACACAAGGAATGCTTATCTATACAAAAGAAAACTGCCCTGCCTTTGACCTAATTCTAAGAGCCACGTCAACCTCAATAATTCAAAAGGGATGGCGAATTGTTCGTACCTGGTACCAAGACAAAACAGCATGTGTCATTCCATATACTCAGTCAAATAAGAATACCTTTCACCATGTGGTGCATTACCATCTGGCACCAAATTGTTAAATATTAACAAGATGTAATTAGCCACTAAGGAAGCTGAATAGGTGAACAGTTTCATCCAATAAATTGATTACAAACAGTCAGATATTTTATAACATTACCAATAGAAAAGAATACATGTAGTTCAGGGCTGAACTGAGGAATCCTTTGGTGCTCTCTGAGCTTGGTTGTTTGCTTGCAAAGGTTTCACTGTTGTTGTTTTAACCATTTAGTCATGTTCTACTCTTAGCAACTTTATAGGCAAGTGCTCTCCATACTATCCTGTCAAGTATAGCTTCTTTCAGTTGTTGGATATTCACCTTTGTATCAATTTTGATGGTATCAAGCCAGCATGTTCTTTGCTTGCCATTCTTCTTGTTCCATTAACCATTCCTAACATCTGTTAACTCTACAATGAACCTGGCTGCAGTCATCTTGCTCATTCTAGGTTGCCATATGAATAGGAGGGGGTGCAGAGGATTTGTGCTAATCTAAACAATTCTGTGTCCCATGGGAACCAAGGTTATTCTGTTGGTTATGTTAGGGGGTTGGGTGGATTGCTAGAAAGCGCGCCAAACTATTCTATTGGGGAACATAGCTGATTGCATAGCATTGGGATGGGAAGTTTAACTTTGTAATAGTGTAACTATTTGTAGGGAACTTTAGACTTGGTTTCACTTTTGACCATGCCGATATTTTGTATCCAATAAACATGTTCTTTGAGGAAGTATCTAAGCTCAGAGTTCTGATTTACTTGGCTCTATCTATTGGAACCATGACACCCTCATCAGAGATGTAGCGTGGGGGGTGCAGGGGGGGCCGGCTGCACCGGGCGCAACATCTGGGGGGCGCGCTCGCACTCGCAGCTCTCTGCCCGCCTGTGCGAATCCGATCCGAGCTGCCGGGTCGCCGCCCACTGTGGAGGGGGGAGCGCAAATTACTTGCCTTGCCCCGGGTGCTGACAACCCACGCTACGCCACTGACCCTCATTGACTTCTCCAATGAATTTGCATGCATGAAATAGCCAAAGTTAATCAGACATAGTCTTGTGATTTTGGCTTCTAGTGATGTATCTATTCAGCATCTCTCTATTGGCTGCTCTTGCTGTCCATGGTACAGACAATAATTTACACCAGCACCACATTCAAAGTCATCAACATGTTTGCCTGCAGATGTTACATTACCTATCTGGAAAGAGGACCTGGATTATTTTGACCCTACTTATTATATATTAGAGACATCAATCAGAGTTTGTTTTTCCTGTTGACAGGAAAGAATTGTGAGAAGAGTGAAATGAAACCAGGAAATCCACCATTCATTGCCCTGAAAATGCCCATATTAAATTGTGTAAGGCAGCAACACCATGCAGTCTTATTACTGACCTACAATAAAGGTCTGCTGTGGGGGCAGCACAATTCACATCAACAGAGTTTTATGTTGAATCAAGAATGTCAGAAACTCATGTTAATGTCATTCATTTGGCTGGGCCCTTAGACCTTTCTTCTACCTCACAGACCCCACCCTCTCAAAGAATCTGACCTATCCAGAATTTGATCTATCCCGGCTCTCTTTCCAGATAGGTAATGAAATATTTGCAAGCAAACATCTTGATGACTTTGAATGTGGTGAACCTGTTTCGCTTAAGAAGAAAATCAAATCAATTCAAATAGTGTAATTTTAGTTGATATGTATGAATTAGTAAAAGCTTATTCATGCAAAGTCCATTAAAAGCAATGTTCCTGTGTGATGGATTTCTCTGTAGATTAAAATTCAAATTTGTAGACATTTATATAAATAATGAACCTTTGTACACATCTAAGTTACACAGATATTAGTATAACTGGCCAAGGAAATTTTATGTGTGAAAAAACTCTGCTTTTTTTTCTTCTGACATGTAAGAGTTCATGATTCAAGATCAAATTCAAATTCTCCCCTGTAAAGTCTCTCGATCTGAAAAAAGATACTTAAATACTTAAGAGCATTTATGTCTCTATAAAGTCTGATTGTAGTTGATTCTCATAATTTGCTTCCAAAAGGATCTGTTGCAGAATTCTTTTACCTCATGTCTATGGCGATTCTCAGTCATCCAGGTCACAGCTGTCTCAAAGGTGCTTTTTCAAAAGGTAACTGGATTGTTTTTTCCTTGAGGAAGAAGACATTTTGCTTCTCATCAAAAAAGCTTCATTGGTTCTGGCAGGATGGTGGGGGCTATGGAGGGATTAGTTCTGGCAGGATGGGGGGAGGGGTTTGGAAGGATCATATTTCTTTGCAGTCATCTGGTCTTAGCACTCTCCCTAAGAGCTCTTGGGGTCACTTGGGGGCTTAACTGTGCTCTCACCTGAAGTTACCTGAAGGTTATCTCAAGAAGTAATACATCTAAAACTAAGAGTCACTCCTTAGTTCTAGATGTATTCCTCCTCATTTTACACTCCATTCCGTATACTGCAGAATATGATTCCAAGCAAAACATATAATCACAGCATGTTCCTCCTGTACACTTTAATGTAGATATCTATGGATACTTCATCTAACAATTCTTAGCCAATAGAATGAATATTTCTTATGTTAACCAACATTCTCATCTTGTAAAACTGAGGATGAAAGTTACACACTACTCTAAATACAAGGAATATATAGATGCATAGAAATGAGGGGAAGTAAGAAAATTATTACATTAATGTGTCATGTAATAAAATAACTTGAATGCAGGTGGAAAAAAGGCATAAGCAAGGAAGCCTCTGCCTCCTCCCTCCAGGAGAGAGTTTAAAAAGTAAGCAATCTGACACCATCTATACATTTTACCTTTTGCCATTTACTGATTTCTATGGCATTTATCTCTGAATGCTTTTTCAACATTACATAAGTCTCAGAATGAAGTTAAAAAGCAGTATCTGTCAAATCAGGATACTAAGATTTATAATTAGCTAAAAAATGATACTGAGAGATGCTGCTGAATAGCATCCAGACATGGCTACCTAATCTCTTACGATTTTCGTAACTAAGTTAGCCAGGAAGCAAATTCAATTGCTGTGGAAATAAAATTAAATTTGATGTACATTATTGCTATGCTCCACTAATTTCCCTGCATCACATTAAATATCCCTCTTTTGATAAATATCAGCCTTCAATGTTTCCAAAGACTATAACTCTTGATTCCAACCAAGAGACCCAGAAGGAGCCAGCTACAGAAGTGGGTTACAGAGGGTCAAATTCTATGGGGTAATTCTGTCCTGAATCTTCTTTGTGTTCACAATGCAATTTAAAAACTACAAATGACATTTATCATTTGTTTGAATTAGAGTTGAAAGAGATAAGGCATATCTTATCACTGAAATTATGCACCCAAAGCACTAGAAACTTGTATGGTGTTTTTTGCAAGCTTGTGCACAACGAAAGTCACAATGAGCTACATGGTCTTGAGAGTCTGGTTCTCTGAATGTTGTAGGATCCAATCTGGGTCAGTCAGCCCTTGATGCTAGAGCCCATCTTCAGGGAACTTCTCTCTAGCCTAGAGAGAACATAGGCTAGAGAGAAGTTCCTTGAAGATGGGCTCCAGAACGAATCCAAAAGCTCAGAAGACAAGACCCCTGGTCCTGGTGACCAACCCAGACCAGATCCTGTAACATTATCCTAGGACACGTACATTTGCCTTCATTCTGAATGTTGCGTTGAAATTCATGTACTGAAGTAAAACTCTTCAATCAATTTCAGTGTGTATTAGATGTGGATGACCCCTAGCAAAACGTACAGGCTGCAGAAACACCCAGAATTTCATCTGCTTTTCCAGGCAATCAAAAATTAGGTTTGTGCTGATAGTAGTGGAAAAGTAATCATCTGCAATAATTGTCGAGATTGAGGTACATGTTTCCTGGCAACTCTGCTCAGTATCTCTGATTGCTTCTAATAAACACACTAGTGAGTGGGTGGGTGAGTGTCTGAGTTTACATAAAATATATGTGTGGTATACAGATAGTCCTGAACTTACAACCATTTGTTTAGCAACCATTCAAAGTTACAATGGTGCTAAAAAAAATTAACTTATGTTTGGTTCTCACACTTACGACCATCACAGTGGTCATGGGATTGCAGTTCGGGTACTTAGGAACAGGCATGAATTTACAAATGGTAGCAGCATCTTGCGGTCATATAATTGCATTTGCGACCTTCTCAGTCAGCTTCCAACATGCCAAGTCTAGGGGGAAAGCTGGATTTGCTCAAAGGCCACATGACTCACTTATAAGTTATAACCATAGCAAAAAAAGTTCAGAAAATTGGGCACAACTCACTTAACAATATCACTTAGTGATAGAAGTGCCGATTCCAATTGTGGTTATAAGTTAAGGACTACCTGCATGTGAATGGCACATACATGCATGTGTATTCATCAACCTCCAATTCAAGAATCAGTCTACAATGTCCATTGTTCTGTATATGGAAAGTAGACAACCTTCTCCTAATTCAAAAGCTCCTATTATGAAGCTATTAAACAAATGAAAAATGTAACTAGCTAGGTTTTTTTTACCAACTATAACAGTCTCTGTCAGTTATGTACTATTCGAAAAGCCCTTATTCGCTTCTAAAAGCTCTCATAAAAGAATGTGAAGCAATCGTGTCATTTATTCTCCAGGAAATGCTCTGTGTTAACCAAGGGGGGGGGGGGAAACCCCAAACATTGAATAATTATTCTTCAACTATTTCTATAAAAGCAAGGGCTGAAAACATAGAGTCAGAACCAATATACAGAACTGATTTTAAATAGAAATATCCATTCTGATTGCATCTATATATAAGGCTACAATATATTTTAACCGTGAGTTACTGAACAAGCCATAATGGCCTAGTTCATAATAATGAGATATGTTAATAGGTGGTTTCATACAGTGTTCTAGGCCAAACTATCATAGTATGGCTTAGTTGTATATCATCTAAGTAAATATATTTCAATTTCAATTGTTCTATAATAATCTACATGGATACCGTGATGATATGTGACATAACCGAACCAACAGTAAAACTCAAAAGGTGGGTGGCTACAATCAATAAATTTTACTAAGTTAATGCATAACTGACTCTGCACCTTCAGAGGCAATGAAGAGCAGCTCTCTTTACCTTAAAAGTGTTTGCCAAAAGAGGATTTTGGAAGACTTGGCCATGCTCTGGTGCTTCACCATTGATCAAGAGGTCCTTTCCATGTTGATTTCCAGGTGACTGAAGGACATAAGCATCTTGCTTCCACTGGTAAGAAGTAATTTCAGACACTGGAAAGCCCTTCTCAGCCATTTCTATTGCTGGTTGCAAAATTTGCCCCATGGAAAGCTGAATCAAGGAATATTGCATTGTTATCAATCAACATACATCCACCAGTTATAAAGATTTGCACAATACAATGAATCACATAAGCCAAAGTTAAAACTAATTGAACTTAGCATGCCATGTGCATGCAGTCACCTAGATTTTAGCTGGCCTGGTTAAGTGTGTTATATGAGCACACTTATATAAACGGTGTAAAAGTAAAGGAGTTTTGAATCAACATAAATGATTAAACTGGGCTTTACAGCTTTCCAAACAGATGAAAAATTAATGCAGTGGGATAGAATATTAAAACTCATTAGCTTTCTGGAAGGTTCCTCCAAATTATCCTTTTCTGAGTCGCAAATTAATATGTTATTTCATCGCATAATAAATATTATTAAGATCTATTTCAAAGGGCATATCAGGTAGTCCTCGAGTTACAATAGTTCGTTTAGTGACCGTCTGAAGTTACAACAGCACTGAAAAAAAGTGACTTATGACCGTTTCTCACATTTATGACCGTTGCAGCATCCCCGCGGTCACATGATTTACATTGGGATGCTTGACAAGTGACTCACATTTATGACGTGTCCGGGGGGGTCACGTGATCCCCTTTGGCAACCTTCTGACAAGCAAAGTCAATGGGGAAACCAGCTTTACTTAACAACCGTGTTACTAATTAAACAACTGCAGTGATTCACTTAACAAATGCAGCAAAAAAGTCATAAAATGGAGCAAAAGTCACTTCTCAAATTTCTCACTTAGCAATATAAAGTTTGGGCTCAATTGTGGCCATAGCCCGAGGACTCCCTGTACTTCCTATGGTATCAAGTATGTGAAATCTACATAAAGGAAATTAGTAAAATCCCAGCAGGTGACAATAAAAAACTGAGCAATATTTTTAAAATAGGAAGGGGAGAGTCAATGTCCTGTTCTTTTGCCTGCCCTTTCCCATATCTTAGGCAAGCAGAAGAAACTGGGTGTTATTAAAGGAAAAGCAAATTCAGGTACTTTAAAAAAATGCAAGCTTATTTATGAAATAAAACTGCAGGTAGTCCTCAACTTACAACCACAACTGGGACCAGAATTTCCATTACTAAGCAAGGCAGTTGAGAAGTGAATCGTGCCTGATTTTATGACTTTTATGCCATGGTTGTTAAGTGAATCACTGCAGTTTTAAGTGAATAACATGGTTGTTAAGTGAATCTGGCTTCCCCTCTTAGCTTTGCTTGTCAGAAGATGGCTAGGAAAGTCACAAATGGCGATCACGTGGCCCATGGATCCTGCAACATTGATTACATGCCAGTTGCCAAGCAGCCAAATTTTGATCATGTGACCGTGGGGGGGGCACTGCAAGGACCAAGTGTAAGTTACTTTTTTCAGTGCCGTTGTAACTTTGACCACTTGTTAAATAAATGGTTGCAAGTCAAAGATTACCTGTAATCAATGTTTTGAGCAAGAACATTTGGTAGACTTTACCTGTTTGCTTCCATACAACGTGACAGCATCACACCATGCAGCAGCAGCACCAGGGACTGTGATGTTACATGCATGTCGTAAAGGCAAAGGATTCGCTTCATCAAAGCCATCTTCTTTTAGCAGCTCCAGGGTGAGGGATTGTGGAGACCGTCCACTGCAAAGCAATCAGAGGTACACAGGTGAGGCATATAAAACCCAAGTTTTATTCAATTTTAAAAGGAAAAAAAAAAGACTGATGCATCACAATCAGCTTAGCAGAGCATCAACCACTCAAAATAATGCAAGTGATTTCCAGGCCTTTTAAATAGGTTATAACATTACAGTTCATATTCCTGGAAACTCTTTTGTTATTTCAACCAATGAATTCTTGTTCTACAATTAATCTCATTACACTGCTCTCAACATTTTAGGATTCTTCCCAACAGTTCTTAGTAGTCCATCTGAAGGCTATTCTGTCTTTCCCTCCTTCATAGGTGTTCTGATATAAGGAAAAACATTGAAAGGATAGTTACAAATGGAAGACGGAAGCATGAATCATGTGAAAGTCACACATAATTTATAATTAAGAACGTACTTGGAAAATAATCTTTTGTTCATTCAGGCCTTATCCCACTTGCCCTTTGCCCCAGCATAATCCCATCTCATCCAGCCGACTTCTCCCTTGTTGACATAGTGCTGTCTTCATCTTATTCCCAGCTCATGAAGAAGCCAAAAATGTCATTAGCTACAGCAGTATGAAGGCCAT